ACATGTCTGTCAATATATTAGGTATAACAAGCCATGTATTTATATATTTATCAAATATGTATTGTGTATGTATGTAATGTGTATCAAATACAGCTCTTTTCTCTTTTTGATTATTTAATAGCTTTTTATATACGACTCTAATGCCACTAATATGTGATTCTATACTTTATATGTGACTCTAATGTCAAAAGACGTTGCTAAACTGAAATTTTTTAATAAATTAAGTATACAAAAATATCGCAACCAAAAGCGGCTTCTTGATGACAAGACCACATGGTCTTCTGCAAGTTTTCCGCGTTCTTTTAACAGCGTTACTTTTTATATTTATTATTTGTACTGAAAAAAGTTCTTATTATATGTACGATATTTTATTTTACACATTGTAAACGAATCAGTTTATATTATGATCACGTATTTGTAAAATCTTGATTTAAAATATATATATATATATATATATATATATGTATATATATATATATATATATATATATATATATATATATATATATATATATATATATAATATATATATATATATATATATATATATATATATATATATATATATATATATGTATGTATATATAAGCCATTCAGAAATTTTGACTAGTTCAATGTTCATGTTGCTAAAAAGTGTAAAAATGTTATTGCAAGAAAATCCTAACCCTAACCCTAACCCTGATGATATACTTTCATACTTATTTATAAAAAATTTATAAAAATCCATATCTTTTTCATATTGCCTGCAACGTATTCTCTAACTTTATCTACTTCTACCCTGTCCCTTTCTTCTAAATTACTGCATCCTGATCATCTGCATCTGTACACTCTACATGCTCTACATACATTTTTTTAATATTTTCAATATTACTCTCTTTTTTTTTACTGTAATTATTATGTAATAAACTAGCGCTGTTTGAATGGACAGAGCAGCAAAAGATTAAAAGACGTTCTGTTTACATTTATTATAACTATTATAATATAATATATATAAAAACTATTATAATATATTATATCTACTGTGATTTGTTGAATCTACTGTGATTTTTTTAACAGTGTACACTACATTTTGCTGTACAGCGGCCGCATCTTATAAAACTTTGAAGCGAAATCACTTCGGTCTTTTGACATCTTCTTTTTAACTTGTTGACGTTGTTTTTTGCTTTGCAAAAATAGAGCTGCCTGCCTGAGATATTTTTCAACAAAAGTTTATTATTGCAATATGCTTAAAATAGTATACTTTGAAAAACACAACATTAAAAAAACAATATTTACCTTGGATTGCTATATTAAAATTCTCGATTATCGTTAAGGTTATGCGCAAAATTTCCAATTTAAAAAATGTGCTAAACTTAAGGATTCCGGTTAACTTGCTGCTTTTGACTTATTCTTGGCTGAAATATCAGAATGATTTTCAAAATTAACTAACCAGTTAATGATGGTAGAATAGTTACTGATAATAGATTATAGATATAGTTAATACTTTCTTAGAATAATACTTTCTTAGAATCCATCGAGTGAGGCAAAACAGCCGCGTGATGTTCCAATTTTTACATTTTCTACAATGCAAAATTTATCAAAAGATGCTAGGCGAGGCCCAAGTAAAAATGCGATAAATGATTGGACTATGTTAATTATATTCTCTGTTTGATTTTCAACATAATCTTGTGCTACCAAGTTGATAATTTAAGTGCGTAGTGCGCCTAATTTGCCCGCTCTTTTTTTGGCCCTGATAATCTGTATTAACAAACTAAATCGACGCAAAACATGATAGCATGCAACACAAAAAATGTTAGCATGCAAAAATTTAAATTTTTACCTTTTCGACGAATGGCAAGGCCTTGCGTCCCCTAATATAATAATAAGAAAATTTGGTAATCCAGTAAACTAGTTAATATAATGATTGATATTTAATTTAAATTTTTCTTAAAAAAAAATGCAGAAATTACAAAATAAAGAAAAGTTGTAAATATTTTAGATAAAACCGTGCGATTATCCATCATTTCTTTTTTTGTGATTGTGATTAAGTTGCTAGATAACGGTCAATCCCAATGTTGGTGAGGTAGTCATACTAACGGATGCTCTATGAAATTCAAATTGCTTATGAGAAGCAAATATTTTTCTTTCTTCCAATTAGAAAATTTGTTTAAAATAGGTATTTTATTTGGGTAGCTTTAACGCAGGTTGAACAAAACACTTTGTCTTTCTCGCATGTAAAATCCATCATGTATTTCAATCCAGTTTTGTTGAAATTTTCTACTTTCTTTTGATGGATATGATGGCTGTTTTGAGCAAGAAGGTCCAGCCTGCTCTGAAAAAAATGTCCATTCAATAACAGTATTTCAATTCCATCATCAGACTAAACAAATGATAAACTGTCATTTTTCATGGAGGTTTTTAGATAAAAACCTCCATGAAAAATGAATACAATAAACTAATCTTTTTCATTTTACAATGTACAACATATTTAATTTTCTATTTTTTAAGTTTGAAAATTGAATAAGCGAGGCATATATACACATTTCTTCTCGAGCTTCAATTGTACTCTTACTTTGAAGTCGCTGTTGAACAGTTCAAAGAGTTTCTTTATAAAACTGCGTTTTTTATTTGGAATGAAAAAGAGTTGAATATATATTATTAAAGATGTGCTAAATTTATCAGTTAATCTGAATACACTAAAGCTTAACTCACGAAATTATTAGCTCTTAAATTTTGTAGTTGCATGTTTTTGTTACTTTTTTACTGATCAAACTCCTATGAGACTCATCAGAAGCGTGAAATTCCTAAAATTCCACAAAATTTCAAGAATTTCAAAAAGGGAGCCTGAACTTTTGAAAACATTTGCGGAAATATTTTATTGTATTTAAATTATTTGTTTCTATTATTTTTAATTATATTATGATTTTTTGTTTATTTTTGAACGATTGATATTTTAAAGGTGAAAAAATTATAAAAACCGAACAACCAAACAAGCATTTGATTGCCAACCCAAGCTGTTGCTTTTACTTGTACTTTGAGGTTGTTGAATTTTAGTATTCTAAGTTCACGCTCAATGCATGTTGATTACGTCCGTTACCATCAATGTTAACGATGGTATCATTAATTAGTTTTTGTGACAACTAATATGCATTACTTTACACTTCTCGACGATGAAACTCACAAGGCAGTTGTGCGACTAATTTACAACGCTGTCGGTGTCCGCTTGCAGTTTTTTATAATCAGAGGAAAATTTATGTTCATTGGTAACTCATATGATCTTGCTATCGTAGGCGTATAATTCAGTATGTTTATAAATACAGTCTGGTAAGTCATTGATGAAGAACACAAATAGCAGTGATGCGAAAACTGATCCTTGAGGAACGCCACTCATCAGTCTTTTTCACTCAGATGTTTATTCTCCATTTATTAGTCATTATTGTTTATTAGCCAACTAAAAAAAACAGTTTATTAGCTGGCCTCAAATGTCATAGGCATAAATTTTATAAAGATGTTGTTGTGTGATATTGTGTTGAATGCATTGGCAAAGTCATTTAAAATTATGTCAACTAGGTGTCCATGGTAAACTACGTTCGTTAAAATGTTACGGGATTTAATCAGGTTCGTAAGCGACCTTTGTGATGTGCGAACCATGTTGAGACTTTAATATTACATTGTGCACAGTTTTTCATAATCTAATCTACGATAATTCTTTTCGTCACTTTGCACGGTATACATGAGAGACACCAGCTTGTAGTTATAAGTCTTGACTTTGTTTTCTTTTTTGAGATTAGACGTAACATTTGCGTTGAGATTTTAACACTCTTTAGGGAGTTGTTATCCCTCAACTCCCTTTAGTGTGTTAAAATATCAGCAAATAAAGTTAATTAACTTTTTTTTTGTTTGTTAATAAATTTTTAATAAATTTTATTCAGAATAACTATAATAGAGTTTATAAGATTTATGAGTAAAATGTTTTGTTTAGATAAGACTTCGTGTTTTCTCTAATATTTTTTTTATTTTTTTTATTTTTTTTTACTTTTTCGTAAATAAATCTCAATATGGTTGCTTTTTTCATCTTTCATCTTTTGGCGCCCCTAATATCTTGTCGCCCAGTATATGTAAGGCCCTTAGCCCCTCCCTCTCGGCGGCCCTGGTCAAAATTTAGTTTTTATTTATTTAAATTGTTATAACATTGTTAATTCTTGTCTAAATGCATATATCTTCATTAAATGCATATATATATATATATATATATATATATATATATATATATATATATATATATATATATATATATATATGTATATATATATATATATATATATATATATATATATATATATATATATATATATATATATATATATATATATATATATATGTATATATATATATATATATATATATATATGTATATATATATATATATATATATATATATATATGTATATATATATATATATATATATATATATATATATATATATATATATATATATATATATATATATATATATATATATATATATATATATATATATATATATATATATATATATATGTAGACCACTCGGGTAAAACCACAGAAATTTAGTGTTTAGAGGTATCAGATTTATTGATAATGTATTTATATAAAAGTACTTTTTTATGACATTTAAGTTCTAATGCAACATATAGATTTTTTTTGCTAAATACAAAAAATAAATTTTATATTGTTCATTTGAAAACAAGACACTCATTTTGGATATCTGTGATTTTCTCGCTATAAATTCATCAACTCCATGTCGTAAGGCGCGGATCCAGCATTTTTTAAGTATTGAGATAAAAGCTCTAAAATTATCTTTGAAGATAAGCTTCGATAAAAAATGAGCTTCAATAAAAAATGAGCTTTGAAGATGAGCTTCGATAAAAAATTTTAAAATAAAAATAATAACTAGAAAAAGCCGATATTTAACCGCGTTTAATTTCTGTTGTTATTGTTGTTTTTCATCTAACGTATAAAAACAAGGAAGAAACGTTGATCTAATTGCCTTTTTTAATTTAGCTTGCAAAATTACTAATTTATGAATCACTCCTCGAATAGCAATTTCATTGACATTTATTCTAACAATAGTTTTCCTTATTATTACAATTATTGATATCGTACTGTTATTGCTATTTTCATCATTGTTTGTATTGATATGTTATATTTTTAGGTATTTACTTTATATTAGTACTTGTACTATTGTAAATGTCCTTGAAATGTTTCATGCTAATATGAAATATATTTGATTTTAGTGGATAAAACAAAAATTAAAATTAGTTCAATTATGTAATTTAATGCACAAATTTTAAAAAAACTTTTAAAAAGTCATTATATGTACTGAAATAAAAAGTTTGAATGAATTTCTGATTCTTTAAGAATTTTTATTCGATCGTTCAAAGATAAACTACCTAGATATTCGCAGCTGTACCATGGAAATGGAATTCTTCCGGACGGGCACGCATTAGAAATCGGTTTCAAATAGTCAGATCCGTACAAAAATAATAAAATTTTGTGGCTTTCTGCTGGGACTGAGAGTAACACTCCATCTACAAACGTTTTTTTAATCGGAAAAATATTTTTGGAGTTAAATTCAAATCGAGGAAAAGTACTTGTTATTACGTCTGAATTATCTTGTTTTTTTAAAAAAACGAAAATGTCAATTTGAATTCCATCGTGCCACTGGCATCCTTTTCTAATGCAATACCCGTAGCAACTGTTTCGATCTCTAATTTTTGCATTAACAAATTTTGTGCTTCTAAAATGAATATCATCAGATCCATCTTGAAAATATAAATCTTCAGGTAATTCATTGCGAACATGTTTCAAAAATTGTTGATAATCTTCAAGCAACATTCCTATATCTGCATCGTCGTCCCAATGAATAAGCTTGTTACTTCGATAAGATCCAAGTAAAGTTCCAGCTAAAAGCCAATACTTTATGGAGTGACGCTCGCAAACTAAATTGATAATTGCTAGCATTCTTGTTATTGTTAACAAAACTTGCCTGTGCATGGTTTCTCCAAAATGTCTAACATCTGGACAAACAATTTCGTTTTTATTGTTATATTCACATTCTTTGGATAAGTTTCCGAAAGATATAAAATGTGAACTTTCGACATATTTTGGTATTTCTACACCGGACGGTGTTTTTATTTTTTCTTTTAGCATTAATGAGTTACAACTTTTTAAATCTCGAATTTCGTAGATAGCAATAAAAATTATAATCAAAATAAATATTAACAAAAAACGTTTCTGTATCTTTGAAAACTTTCTCATGTTTCTGTTTTAAATTTTTGTTTGCAACTAATCGTTTTTTATAAAGCACAATTAACTGAGATAAGTGCAATATTTCATAAAATTTTGACGGAATGAATATTTGATATCCATATAAATCGGAATAAATATTTGATATCTATTTTTAAATAAAATTTTATTTCATTTTTGAAATCGTTAGAGTGAATAGACTCGCAGCAAATAAATGTAATAAAAACTATATATATATATATATATATATATATATATATATATATATATATATATATATATATATATATATATATATATATATATATATATACATATATACATATATATATATATATATATATATATATATATATATATATATATATATATATATATATATATATATATATATATATATATATATATATATATATATATATATATATATATATATATATATTAAAGAAAATAATGAATTTACAACAATAACAAACTTACTATAGGTTAACAGAGAATGTTAAAATGATACTCTTTTAACTTAAGACCAGTTTCATTATTTTTATGGCTATTTAGCCGTCATTGCACAAATTGTATAATCGTCTTTTTTTAATCAAATAAAACTTATGTTAAATAGTAAACTTTGCAACCTATTTTTTTTTTGGAAATCTTAATAGAAGAGTTCTCAATTTTATAAAGTTTTTTTTTTTACTTTTATAGTTTTTAAAATTGTAAATTATTATAAATAACTTTTTAAACAACAATAATTTAATTAATAAAAATTTCTTATAATATTTCAGAAACATTTAAAGTTGAAACAAGCGCACAGTGGGCCGGTGGAGTATGAGATTTTTACAACTGCGTTTTTTTCACTCCCCAGTAGATTTTTACTTTCATATTAAATTTCTACTACACAGTAAAAATTGCATTTGAAATTTTTACACCTAAAAACTTTATATTACATTTTTACTCCCATTATGAGATTTTTACTCCCATAAAATATTTTGCGACAAAATGTGTTTAACAACTATATTGTATTTTGAGGATATTTTTTAACGTTTTAAAGATTGTGGCTTTTTGAAAAGCAGTAAAGAAACGATTCTGCAAACGTTTTACAACTGTTTTGTAGCGATTAAATCAATTGACAAAGTGTTTGGTTAAGTGTTAAGTATTTTATAAACAAAATATCGTCGTTGTCGTCGCCGTCGTCGTCGTCGTTGGACGCTTTAACCTAACTCTTTGTTTGAAACTCCATAGAACGAATATGTATATATATAAAAAACTACTTCTTTAGACCAATCCATTTTATCAAACTGGAAGATGAACATAAATCAGTTTTGCTAAAATTTTCTAACCATATGCGCAACGAGGTACACGAGGATATTATTAGGTATTTAAATATTGCAGAAAGATTTATTTATTATATGTGATAATAAATTGCTCGAAGATGCGATATAGGGAACCGACAAGGATATAATAGGATGTGCTTCACTAATGGGGGAGGGGGTTAGATATCCATATATATATATATATATATATATATATATATATATATATATATATATATATATATATATGTATATATATATATATATATATATATATATATATATATATATATATATATATATATATATATATATATATATATATATATATATATATATACAGTAATTACGGAGCGAAAAAAAACAATAATTGAAATTAAACAACAATATTTAAAATTCGTGAAATAAATACATATGTAAATGGACTAGATTTTTTACTTGATGCTGTTAATTACAGCATCAAAGTAGATTCCAGTTGAGTTGTCTAGAAATATAGAATAACTGATTACTTATTAAGCCGTAAACTGCACGGGTAGGTCATCCATTTTGTTTTTGCTCCATGTTTGCTATATACTTGGATATCTACCTCCAGAAGTGAAGCACATCCAGTTACCATTGCATTAGTTGCCTATGTAGCATCTTCAAGCATTATAGTTTTACAAGTATGCGTTCGAGTTATCATATTCAAATATCCCGTTATTTCGTCCTGAATTTTTTTACCCATATGGTTAACGACTTTGTTTCTAATTGGCTTATGTTCATCTTCATTTCCAGTTATATAAAAGAAATTGCTCTAAAAAAATGAGTTTCCAATTCCTTTAATTCTATGGATTCCCCATAAAGAGTTAGATTGATAGTAAAGAGTTTGATTGAATAAAGAGTTAGATTGACACTTCCTTCGGCGACATTGCGTTTCCTAACAATTTTTCAGCAATTGATTTTCTCATAAGTTGCACATTTTGCTATTCTTTCATTTGAAACATTTACACTGCTTTTAAGTTGAGTAATCTCGTATGTGTGCATGATTTGACGTCTTTGATAATTGGTTCTGTTTTAACATTATCATCATTTGATAGTTTTAACAACATATATGCCACTGCATTAATAGATTACAAAGGTTTCAATATTTCTATTAAAATACTCGCTTCTTTATTGCTTTTCAAGAAACTGCAGTAATTAAAAGTAATTAAAACATTTAAAAGTATTCACAAAATACAACAAGGTTTGGTTGCAAAAACAAATTTTGCCGCAAAATATTTTATGGGAGTAAAAATCTTATAATGGGAGTAAAAATTTAATATGAGATTTTTACTGGGTAATAGAAATTTAACTATATTATCTTTCTTTTCGATATTTTAGCGGTATTTGTACTGAATACCCATCTATTTGAATGTTCTTGGGATAACATTTAGCTTTTGAAGATCTTATACCATTATATAAAGGATATATGTGGCAGCCGTTTATTTTAAGCACCATACCTTATAAAGAGGTGATACTACGAATAAAATCAGGGGGGGGGGGTGAATCTTCTACCACTCATTTTATTTGTTGCAACTATCAACTTTTTACATCATATTTTTATAAAGTTTTTCAATCAGTAAATGTCATCAATTTTTATATTAATACAAAAAAAAAAAAAAGGTTAGTTAAACAGTACAATTTGTATTAAATAACAAACAAAATCATTTAGTTTACTATCTGCAGAAACTAGAACAGCTAATTTCGATGAAAAGAATGGTTTATCATTAGGAACTACTTTATTTTATTTCATAAGTCCGTAAATGTCACCAATTTTTATATTATTACTAAACAAAAAAACAAAAAAATTGATAAGTAAACAGAGCAATTAAATATTTTATATTGAATTGATTTGTATTGAATATATTGAATTATTAGTATTGAATTAAATAACAAACAAAATAACATGTATTTTTGTATACGAGAAATAAAAGTTGATTTCAAGCAAATAACATAAGTTTTAAGTCATTATTTTAAAATTTCAAAGAAACCCAAAAGGGGAAATTAGGGGCAATGTATATAGTTCAAATAGGTTGTATACATAATTTGTACAAAATAAAAGTATAAAATGTTAAAAATTTACCTCGTTATTTTAAAGTCAGATTATAAGTGTATTATAAAGGCTGATTTTTACTTTATACTTTTTTCGTAAAGCTTTACTGTTAAATAGTTTAAATATATAAATTAATCCCGTAAGCTCATAATATTTTAAAAGTTACTGTTTACTATAGCTATGCATAAAAAATAAAAAATTTGACGCTTTTTTAAAAAAAAATGTTTTTTTATTATACATGAAACCGCAACAAATTTTTGTGGCTTTAAGAGAGACTTTTTACTCAAAACAATTTTTCAAAATTTTAAATGAGAGTGTTACAAATATGTTTTATTATATGGTTTTAAATATAATATTTATTTTTTAGGTTTTTTGTTAACCACCGGTGTTGGAAAAACAGGTATTTCCCAAACTGGATCAATTTCAGATTATTGAGTCTGTCCTTTCCAATCGTAATATAAAAGTTGTCCTCGATGGACAGCATTTTTCTTTATATCCTGTAACTTTAGGGGTTCCTCAAGACTCTATCCTTAGCCCTATACTCTTTTTAATTTACATTAACAATCTTCCAAATATTCTCAAATCTAATGTGGCATTGTTTGCTGATGATACTACCATTTATTTTTGACATGATAAGAAGCCAACATGGTTGCTTTAACAATGATGATGGTGGTCATATTCATGATATCCATGGTGTTTGCCTTTGTCGTCTCCGTGATGTTCTCCTTCGTGAACCCTGTGATCTCCCCATTTTTCATAAAGCTCATAACCATGGTCGTGATGATAATGATTATGTTCGTGATGATGCTGCTTTTGGTGACCGTTCTCACCATCATGACCTATGTGCTTACCGGGGTAATGCTCACCTTTGTGTTCATCATAATGACCGTCCTCAAACTTGCGTTTGGGCTAGGTATTTTAAGCCAGGTACACCTGGCCCTCTGCGAAGCGTTTCAAATTTTGAATGCGTTCTAGCAAAGAAGTTACATGTGTGAAGTTAAACGTTATGAAAACTTAACACTTAAATTCATATTGTTATAAATTCATAATTTTTATTTAAGCTCACACTTCTTTGATTAGTATACCAAACATGACAAATAATACCGTGGCTAGTGTCCTGGGCTAGTTCCCCCTTTCAAAACCAGCCATTGGGGCCCTAAAATCTTAAACGTTTTGCACTAGGTATTACTAGGAAAAAAAAAAGATGCTTAAATTTGTAAAAAAAATATCCGATTTTTGTTAGTTGCGGTAATAAGAACTATAAACCTATCAAATTGGTAAGTGGAAGTCTTTTGTTAAACCTGATTCAACTGTACACCAACACTATTTGTAATACCAAACTTTATTCTAACTCTATTGGATTATGTTCAAGCAACAGGATTTATCTGTTCCCAGCCGAAAAAGTATAATCTTTATCACCAGTTTAGACAGAACTATTTGACATGGGTACAATGAAAATGAATTAGATGGTAAACCTAACAAATTATATTAATATATTTTACACACTATTTGCATATTAAAAGTAAAACAAAACTAGAATGAAATATTTATTAAATCTAATATCTTAGTCTTAAAATATACATTTAGTTTGGAATTAAACTTTGGAATTAAACTTTAGAATGAGACTTTATGAAGGTTAAGCTGATACCATGGCAATATATA